CAACCACCCCAACTACCTGAAGCACAGGATGAAATGTCCACAGCAACGAGAAGCAAAGGCTCTGCGGTTGAACTCTTCGAGATCGTTCTCAGAGTGTTTTTTCCCACGAAAGAATTTGGAGGCCGTGACCTACCTGAACTCTCATGCAGCTTCCAAGAGGAATCTGTAGATGTCAGTGTCAAGTTCGCAGTCGAGAGCTCCACAAGCACTAGTTCGGACTACGAACCGTATTCCAGAGACCCAGCCAAGCCGCTGGAAGAGTCCTTGATGATGCTGGCAAAGAAGGCATTGAACATTGCAGGAGAACATGAGTTCCATATTCATACTGATGGAGCTGGTACGCATATCTACATAACACACCGGAGCGATTCATCTTAGCGTACCTTTGGAAAGAAGGTGCCAAGAAAAGAAAGCACCTTCCGACATCAATCTCGGCATTTCAGCTTGTCAATAACACGTTGCGATCAATCCGAGATTTGCCTATCGTGCCTTCGCATCGACACGTTTCGCTCGAAGACATACGTCGATCATTGTTGACGACGTAAAGTGACGGGAAAACAATGTTGGAGGTCAGCCGGATCTCGAAGAACGGCCGTTGGAAACGTGAAAGAGGAGGATGGAAGACAGCTTGCAAGGACTGGCGGATGGTCCGATCAAATGTCTGCTTGAGCCTATGGAGGCCACGTTGGACAAGTCTACTTGATGGCTGTCTTCAAGATCCGAGCCGCGAACGCATCAAGCTGGATTTGGTCAGTTTGCATGGTTTGCTCCTAGATGCGATTTCGCATATGCGTACAAACAAGACAAACAGGACATCTTGCAATCCATGGCCAGAAAGCTCTCGAGCAAGCAAGTGGAACGCATACGTGACATCTAGTGATCAGCGTCTGGTGCTACAACTCTAGGCCCGCTCTTACCTAAGCGCCTTATCATGTGCCATTGGCGATTGGAGCAGTTGAGGCAGTTACTCCTTCTTTTGGTACACATCAATGTTGGATGAGAGGACGTGATCCTTGATGTTGTTGTAATTTATGAAGCGCCGTTGCTCTTGGCAGGTATTAAAAGATGGAATCATGTGAGCTGAACCGTCAGCTTTACGCTCGCTTGACAGATGAAGGGAATGTCGTGCTCTCTATATCTTATCGAAAATAGGCTTAGCCATTTGCACGAATCTATGAAGGTATCGCACCGGACACACTGTCGAAACCTCGATTATCCTTTCCACCGAGGTCCACCCGGAGTAGTTTCAGCTGATCGACAGAATATCCTCTGTGACTACTTAAGTCTGCTTAACTTTACGACTGTCTTTGGTTTTGCTACCAAAAGCTCATGGGCCAGGTGTCGGACAGAAAGACATCTTTGCTTGCAACACAGCTTTTGGGGACAACGAAAGAGTCTTCCAAGCACTGAAGAGATAAGGATGTTGACATCTTTGAGTAATGCTTGGCTACTCATCTATAGGACACTATGGTATCGTGACCGATGTGTCTCGTAGGCACACTCAATTGTGTACATCACTAGGTCGCAGCTTGTCCTTCTCTCGGGGTCACCAGCCCATCAAGCCTGACAATCTCTTGTGTGCGAGGTTTCAATAGAGATCGTCTCCAGCTCTCCCTCCATAATTGCTTCGCTATGGAACGCTGATGAGACTTTCATACCAGAGCTTTTGCTTGCGTACCCGTTGTGGTACCATCTCCGCACGTTCTCTGGCGTCAACCCTGTGATTCCGGCTCTCATCTCCCCGTTTCTACTAGGCATTGGATATGTTCGCATATCAGTATCCCACGGAAGTGTCTTTGGGTGTTTGTGTAGTTCTAGATGGACGGACCAAGGGGTGCCTTATTGTAGCACGTATTGCAGATCTGAAGCCACAGCGCTTTCAGAATTTAGGACATGTAGGTATATTGATGGCCAAAGCAAGACTTTGTGGGCCACGGTCAAATGTTGATAAGTACGCAGCATGTTCGGGGGGAACGATGATTGGGATTCCATACGACGTCCTGGACGATCTTCACTGTCATAGGAGACATGGGATTCGTTAGAACCCGAAGCGGCCATGGTGCCATTTACTCCGGGAGGGCGCGCGCCAGCTTGTGGAGTGCTCCAATCGGTATTGCTCGCCGGTGTTGGAGGTTTAGATACGTACAGAGTATCGAACTTGTTTTCGAGCCGTTGCAAAGTCTGAAGAATATAAATCATGGTCTTGTCCTTTCTGCGCACCACAAGTCTTAGCGACAAGTAGTCACTTTGTTCCAAAGCAGACTTACTTTGTGGGCTAAGGTTCTCGATAGACACACTCGACATTGAGTCGCCTACAAAGGCCACACTTGGGTCTTTGCTCATCACATTTGGTTTTGCTAATTGTCGAAAAAAAAAAGCAGTCAATAAACACAAAAGCACATGGCCGAGTAGTTTGGTTAGCCTCACCGGCTGCGACAAGTTTGACAGGCTTGTGCTGCGATGACGACACGCTCTCGCCGTAAGGACATGTCAGTCCTGTCATCCCCTTCGGCCCCCATGGATTGCGACAGTGCTCGTAGAGTGAAACTATGTTTTGTTGCAGAGCCGCAGCGTGAAGGAGTCGGAACGGAGAAAAGAAGGACCTGATGGATGTTGGAGTGGCCAGCGGCACGCCGTAGGTAGAGAGGTCGTCGCACTCGTTCACAGCAGCGGATACGTGACCAACCTCGAGAAGTCGCTTCTGTAGAAAACAGTCAAGCCGACAAACGGAAGATGAGCCGCCGAAAGAGGGAATGCGACAGAGTTCACGAACTAGCATGTTGACATCAGTCGACGCTAATCGCGAGCAACCGGGTGCACCAGACGAGCGTCTTTGGTGCAGACGAAGTCAAGGATGATGCGCGACTAGCGACCAAGAATGACGCGGGCAAACGAAATGCCAACCCCAATCAGGATAATTTACAGTAAGGTTAGCTCGAATGCGGCTCTTATTAGCAACTCTACTCGTACAGGGCTGCAGCTGGACGAGCTGAGAGGATGGCATTCCTGGACAGGTCCATGGCAATTCACAAGACATCAATTCTTTGTCCTGCCTCGACCACCACGTTTGACTAAAGGTTGCGTCTTGATTGTCGCATCGGCTTTGACACAGTCGTTGTTCCCCACCTTCGCGTAGACCGGGTACAGAAGAGCTTTCGGGCACAGAAGCACATGGTACACGACACCTCTCGCCTGATCTCTCCAGCCTCGACCGGACTGACAACAGCAGTGTACATGATTGAGCGCTGCATGTGAGCAACACCCTCGACCTGGCGGATGCCCCCGCATTGCTGCCCATGCCTGGAGAAGCTGACGCCAAAGCTGAAGCTGACGCTGTTCGAGTCAATCACCACCACAACGACAACCAAGACTCGCCATCGCAACCTCCCGATTCAACTTCCCATGCCCCGACGAACCACCACTCCCCCAGTCCGCGCCCTTCCGAGGGCCGCCAGGCTTCACGGCGCATGAGTCTGGAAGTCGTCGCCGAGGCTTAGGGCGATGTAGACGGCTTCGTCAAAGAACTCGACCAGATACGCCGCCAGCTCGACGACCAGATCCACAAATTCATCGCCCAGAATGAGAGAGTTGAAGCTTTACGAGCGCGAGTTGCGCACACGTTATCGCGCCCTACGCGCGCCCTCCATACAGACCTCTGGGAATCCCTCGCCCACTACCCACCTGCTGACCAGCCTTCGGGTGCTTCTGACACCAAACGAGACGCTCAAGGCACGAACGACAAGAGCCATGAATGTGAAAGTGAGCTTCTGGACCTGTTCACCCCTGTATATCTCCCGCTACTAGAGAGCAGGCCTCTTGGTCCTAGCCGTTCTCCTTTTGCTCCTGCTCTCGGTGATACTGACGATTCATCAACTATTGTTGATGATCGCCAGGCTCTCCAGCGCGCGAATACCGACCCTGCCGACGACAACGAGTCTCTATCCTACAGGCGGGGCCTGGGCCCAAGGGCCCCTTCATCTGGTTGAGACCAAGGGAGAAGCTTGGTATCTGCTTTGAAGTCGCCCTCGGCTGGTCCAAGACTCTCCAACAAGAAGCGTGTATCGCTCATCGTAGGTGACGAGGGGGTTGCTCCGAGCGATAACATCTTCTCGAGTATAGCCAGAGACTCGAACCATCGTTCAGGTGACGAATTTCGCGCCCAACACATCGAAGCACAAACACCCGCCCAGTCCACAAATTCCAATTCCATTCTGTTCTTTCATAGGAAGAGTTGCATCACATGCTCTGCTCTGGGGACGGATTGATAAAAACCACCGACGCGGCAGAGGGTCAATGGTTGTGACAATCGCGGAGCATTCTCTTGGGATTACATAATGCTGGTCCCATTGTTCTTCTTGCTTCGACCGTTCATACACCAGGCACAATAAACCTGAGATTGCATCAGTGATGATCCTGATAGTGTTCTGGGTGTTAACTACGTGACCACAGCCTTTGCCGGTCCAAATCTGACGTTTATGTTCACTCTCTCCAACACCCGGTTCTTCCTCACATTTTGGGCTGACATAGGTCTCTTTCTCGATGGGGTCCCTAGTGAAGCCGTTTGAGATCGGTGGCAGACCATATCTGGCTGAAGGAGACATGAGACTATCTATGAGATTAGCAAAGGTCAAACCCGCTGAGGAGGCCATGGCGCTCGTTATACCATTCCTGAGGTTGAAGAGGTTGTTGGGTCTGGCCGGAACGAGAAACAGATCTGCTTGAGATATACCGCACCTCAGGACTGATTGACTCCCTTAAATGACTGGATGCAGCCAATTTTTGGAATTTGTCATCCTCAGAGAGGTCTACGACTAACATTCCAGCGCGGCTCAATATGGTAGGGAGAGGTGTACGCTCTGTTGGACGGACGCTTTGATCTTGCGGAGTAGCATCGTAATCAGATGTTGGATGAGTGACACTGTGTCTTGGTGATCTTATAGAGGATTCTAGTGCGATGGTCGCGAGTGAAGAGGACCGAACAGGGATCTTGCGAGCGCAAGAGTATCATAGAAGAACAAGGGCTGGGAAGTGTCACAGGCCATTCCAGAATCTCGTCGCTCTGGCGAGCGAACAACATGAGCTCTCTCAAGCTCATGGTCATTGCAGGATCCATACTAGATCAACTTCATGCGTGTATCGCAGCGCAGGGATGGCAATGGGCGTGGTGCATTGAGAATACACCCTGTCATCAATATGAGACCGCTGGGTCCTGCAAACAGGTCGCCTCTTCCTGAGCAGTAACAGTCACCGCTTCCCTCTCTCGTGGTAGAAAACACGAACGGCACGACCTAGATCGCATGGTCCAATCCTCTTGCGACCCTGTTGTGTATCACGTAAGCGGTATAACTAAGGTTCTGGCAGCTAAGATGTTCTGTGGCCTGCATTCAACCCGTGGCTGTTCAAGTTAGCTACATAGTCTACATCCTGTCACAACCTGTCAATGAACTTCCAGCCCTCAGATGGCGCCTGCACCCAAGCCTCAGCGGGTGCAAGGATTATGGAGGATCACCACCGCGACTGACCTCAGACTTGGGACAAGCAGTCTGCAAGCCACACACTATGTGTTACCGTGCGTCTGCATGAATAAGCTCCATAACCAATCACAACAAAAGAAAGAGACATCCCAGTATGTGGAGCTTAGCCATGGTGGCTGGATGGCCTCAATGACAAAGCTGCAGACCGCTGTTGCTACTATGATCGCTGTCGAGAAAGACTTGGTTGACCTCGACGAAGATGTGATACAATTATTGCCTAAACCCCAGAAGAGAAAGATCCTGCATGGTTTTGACAATGAGACAAAGACCCAACTTCGAGGCCTTTGATGGACCAATCACCTTGAAGTAAAGAGATGAATTCTTACGTTGACAAATGATGAACATCGCGGAATGCTGACCATGTGTATGGCCAGATTACTTCTATCGCACGCTTCTGGTCTTAGTTGTCCTCCTTACAATCAGCACCTAGAGGTGTGGTCACGACATAACGACACAACGACAAGATGGCGATTTACAATGCCCTTACTGGTGATTTCGTAAGCTCAGATATGATCGACCGACTTTTGGAACCACAATCTGGTCTTAACATAGTATCAAGATTTCGATTACCCTCCTGTTGCTCGACCTGGTGCAGACTGGCACTATGGTGAAGGTGTTGATTGGGCTGGCAAGGTGACCGCCAAGGTCAGTGGCAAGTCCCTAGAGGAGTTCATGCAAGAAAGCATATGGACGCTGCTCGGCATGTCGAACACAACCTTCCACCCTGAGTCGAGATCTTCGTTCCCCAGACTCGGGATGGGATTCTGTGCTGATGGACCGGGAAGTAAGCTAGTCGAGCAGCAAACAGACTTCTTAACCATCCCTGTCAAAGACGAAATGGGAGGCGCTGGTCTGTTCTGGAATGCTAAGGACTACGCCAAATTGCTCGGTGCATGGTAAGCAAGGCTCGATTCTCATGGAACAGTACATCGAGGAACTTGTGTCGCCACAACTGAGCGAAGCCAGCAAGGAGCAGGTATACCTGCTTGCAGAGCAATGGACATTATATCCGAGATCGTAAGATTATAGCTCTGTCACTCCCTTGCGATCGCATCATATATTGCACGACCACAAATCTACCTTCGCTACTACTACTACTATAAAAACTGGTCTGCAGTCTTCGAACCTCAAAAGTGGGAATTGAAGCCCAACAAGTGGGCGCTCCATTCTGCTGCATTGAACGGAATTTCATTCAAGTCTGCTTCACCAAAGAGTGTACCAACTTTACCAGACACTAAAATGAAGTATCCTCTGTATCTGCAAGATAAACTGTATATTCTCAATGACTTGTCTAGAGGGTACGGGCAAAGGGCTCACACTGGCATGGCCTGAGAACCAGCCATCTCAAAATTGTATCGACAGTTATGATCTCCTCGCTACGCCCGCCCTGTCCACACTACAAGCAATCTTGCTCTTGGCTACTTCTCCTCAATTTTCGCAACAATCTTTTTTGGTGCTATGCGCTTGTCGCATGGCTCTCATACTTAGGCTTCACTATGATACAGGGTCGAGATCCGTTTTGTAATGATCATGTATCATAGCAATCTTGTGAGAATCAGTTAGAGACAGTCGAAACCGGCTCATCGACAATCCCTGCTTTGATACTTGCAGTTTTCCTCCGCTTCGCCTTCTACAGCACGGCACCCTCATGCGCGGACTCTATGACCTCTTGACTTTTGCTAATGTACATCGACAAGAACTATCTTGTGAGGCTATCAGTCGCGTAGATAATGAAATCCATTTCTCAGCATTTCACTCGATCTTGGTCAATGATACTGTCATTCTCTTTTATGCTCTGCTTAGTCTACTGGAAAGCCATTCAAGAGACTTCCCTTTTGACGTTCCGCTATTCTTGCCTAGAGCAGGAACATACTACTAACTTGCTCTTGGATTTGAGCCGTTTAGCTCTATCAGCTAAAATTACAACAGTATACTCAAATATCTCTGAGCGGCCATATCCCGGCCGACCTTATACGGAGCATGATTAGTCGATCTTCTGGTAACTTCTTGTTCGGAAGTTTGATTGGACATTAACAGCTGGTATCCGCTCCAAGACCCGGATTATACGGATATGTCATGGAGCTGGCTATAGCGATTTCTGTATCATACTTTGGTCAATTTTTGACACCGTAACTTGGAGTACGAATTCTGACTTTTGTTTCTTGCAATGTTATAAGCCTTTATGATCCTTCTCATCCCAGGCTATTTATTTTGTGCTCCGGAAGAAGAGGGCACTTTGAAGAAGATGCTATCCAATCAAATTAACTTAAACTGTCTCTTCTTGATTGTGTTCGTGATTTGTTCTAGTTTTAAGCAAAGCAAAGCACCGCACCGCAACAGAGAAGATCAAGAAACATCGAACATAAACAGATGACAACATATCTATGATAGTACAGGACTGACCAGATCACAAGCAACCCACGTAAAAGTCCATATCGTCTTAGACCAAGCCCTAACATCAAACTCCTCACGAGATCTCCAAGATTCTTCTGAACCTGATCTCTTTCCGAGTAGGGCTCATGCGGAAATAACTCAGTTGCGCGATTTCGTACTCAAATTCAAGAAAGGTACCTAGAGCGAAAATAAGGTTCTGTGTCAAAGCTGCCGCAGCACGGAGGAAAAGAGCTGGAGAAGAGAGACACCGATGTTGGCATTAGGCTTAGATATACGTGAACAGCTTAATGTTAACTGAACTAAAACTCGGAGAAGACCCCGACACGGGTTGTTGACAAGCTCGGACTTACCTTGGGGAGATCGCTTAAACACAATGCCCGACTCCGCGATTGATGGATTTTATACATATAAACCTTGAGATAGCATCATACCGATGATCTCCCGTGAGTGCGTTCAGCCTCGTCCTCGAGGATGCAGAAGATAATCTTGTTCTGGTGCCGTATAGCCGATGGCAGGGCTAACTAGAAGAACCAAAGGAGACAATCGCCCTAAACACCGAAAGGGCGTTGAACGGGGCCACGGTCCTTCGCCCCGCAACACGGACAGGTTACAGACACATGCCGTCACAGCTCCACGGCATACATACATACATATATATGCGGTTCTTGCTGCTGGCATCGCACGATCTACCAGCAGACAATCGTAACTATCACCTCATAATGACCACTTGAAGGTGAGGCTTATGGCATGATGGTTGGCCGAGTATATAGACACAGAATATCAGACGAGGATGCTTGGCTGCGGCTAATCTGATTGGGCCATTGCTTTCTCCGGAACATACTTCGATACAAACCCGCTCGTCAAGTCGCTGAATCACTGGTTATGGAGCTCCGATGGGAGACTTCTAACGTGTAACTTGCGAAAAATCCACATTCGTGGACTCCATGGTTGATATTCTACCACAGGAATCTTGTCTGCTGTATAAGCTGAACAGTAAAAGCCGGACAGCTGGGTTGACCGGACACCCTTTTCTCTATTATAACTCGGCATTGGTACGGCTGCATTTGACAACGAGCGACTCGATTCGTTCAGCACGTGATATAACACTGTTTCACCAAACTACGAAGGGTGTCACGCGGTTGTGGTGGTGTCTGGTTTTCTGATTTCTACAGTCATTAAATTTTCGCGACATCGTCCGCTTCGACCAATTGACGGCCACGTTCAAGCGGTACAGTCCTACGGCCCTTCTTCTCTTGTAGCTCCTTATGTTAGTCATTGAGACTTCGTTATTTCATGTAGTGTTGAGCGGTCTCTGCGTCCTTCGTACCCAAAGGTCCGATAGCTTTAGTAGTCATCCCATATGTTGATGCGAGTTTCTCGTCTACGACGACTAGTTGATGTGACAAAACATGGTGTAGCTTAGTTTTGAGCCTCTTACTGTTTAGTGTTTGAGGTGATCCAACAGTTGATTGAGATTGCGGTGGTTGTATAATGGTTTCGAAAACATGTGGTCGTTGTGTCACGGATTCTGGATCGAATGGTATATAACCAGCTCTTATAAATGCTGGAATTAAATCAAATGGTTTATATGTCTCTTTACGCGCCTTACGACATAGGTATCAGAAGTTCTTTTTCTTGGTGTTGTCACCATCGCTTAGTCCGCAGAGCTGGTATGGTTTATTCTTGCAGATCGCTTCAATCGATGAAAACATAGTCGAGTCTGATGATTACAATACATCAGATGTATTAACAGGGACAGAAATAGCTATAATTAGCTCGTTCCTGCTCGCAGATATTCTGGAGAGTATCAAAGAAATGCGTCAAGTGGTTGTCAAATGGCAGGATCCGATATTGAGTACCTTGTGGCCGTGTTTGCAAAAGCACAGACGATTTTTTTTCAAGGAAATCATCGATCGTACTCTTGAACAGTTCATAATTGTGGCGCCATTTGTGGCTTTTGATCCTTATTGCTCGCAGATGAACAGGTGAAGGAGCTTGTCAAAGGTTATAGATACAGCTTCATCTCTTGGTTGTTCCTCGTCGCTATGCATCGAGAACGGAATGTACCGACATAGCAGAGACTGATACTTGCCATGACCTGGTGAGATGAGATATCCTTGAGAAAGAGACCCAAGCCACAAGAAACAGTATGAAAAGCCTCCGAAACACTCACTATGCAAAGCGCAGGCTCTAGTAACCATGATCATGACTTCATTAAGAAGGAGAAGCTTTAGCATGACAACAAGAAAGCCAGATAACCAAAAAAAAAAAGAAAGAAAAAAAAAAAAGGTTCAGAGGTAGCCTCTACTCCGCTAATTCGCTAACGAGTGCAACCACCCTTTGGATCTCTACACCACAAACACCACTCAAGAACTACTCGACTTCGGGCAACCACTTGTCAATCACAGTCTTGACGCCACCAGCTAAACTCCTCGGCCTCCTCAGGTCCCTAAGGATACGTTTGCAACTTTCAGGATCGGCATGCTGGAGCAATTGCACCACGGTAGCATAACCCTCAAGCCGCTTTCTCGAGGCAGCTTGACTCGACACACCCTCCTCGGCCAAGTACTCGCAACTCTTCTTCTTGCCAATGCAAGCGGAACATGTAGGACGTTTACCATCACACTGGAAAAGATAAGAATAAGTCAGTGCCAAGGAGCACATGTAATCAAGCAAGACAGCAAGAAAAGGGCAGGGAGAAAATTCACAGGGAGGTTCGAACCTTTGATTTTTGTCTCCGGCATGCCGAACAGGCTGCTTTTGTGCTCCTCCTTTTTCCTTTCCCGTTTTTCCTTACTAATGCCGTCGAGAACTCATCTGGCACTAATTGGTCAGAGGACAGAGTAACGAACAAGTCCGTCTCGGTTCGCCATTGAGGACGTATCGTCGAGGAACACAAAGCTATTTGATCCGCTGTTGACTGCTTAGTTTCCGACGGCAAAGGTATATCGGACTCATGGACAGGGGAGCTGCAGGATAGCAACGACACTGTTGGAGACGAAATCTCGTTCGGCTTCGCGGATGGTGTCGATATGGATGGTGATTGGGACTGGCGCCGAGGGTTGAGACGAATTGGCTGGTCAAGGAAGAGGGCGTGTTCCATTGTGGTAAATTTGGATCCAACGTTTTGGCAACCTGGTTGTCAGTCAGACGGAAGTCTGCTTCCTTTTGAACAAAGATAAATGGAAGGCAGTATAATTTGAGGACTTGACTCCGCAGACATGGGTTTGTCCTACAGGCGTTGGGGAATGTGCAGGTGCGGGGGCCCACCTCGCGGATCAGCATGATGAAATCCCATCCGTTCTGCCTCTCAGCCGAGACGTCAGGGTTCTCTAAACGTCTCAAGATCGACCTAAGCTGATCAACCCCTCAGCTGCGCACCCTCGATAGCTGCGCGTTTCGCGTTTTCTCGCTCCATCAGCACAACCACTTCCTTTGTGTCTGACAAGGTTCAGCGGATTTGCAGGCAGCTTGTAGCAATTTTTCGTAGTATTCATGGCTCTCGTGACCATCTATGTCCTTCGTAGCTCGCTGAGTCGTTGCTCTTCCGCCCTTGTTCTCCACCAAGCTCGCAACTGGCCTTCTTGCACTCGAACGGGTCGGCGAAAGTGAACACGGTGAGGTGACTAAGTCTTCAGTGTCTGTGGAAGGTGTTGATGCGCACAGGACCGATGTTCTGCAGGCAGGTCGATAGAGGCTCTTCGGAAGCGGGCTTACGGCCCGATCGTCGTCGGCCCGAGGTTTTGTTGTCGTCATTGCTCCAGGGACTGCTATAGATGAGCAACTTTTTCCGACTTCGCATTGATGCTCGATAGGATAGTCGGCATGCGGTCTTGCAGCATTGGATGTATGGATAGATTCCTTCTAGAGTGTTATTGACCTGAGAAAGAAGCCTTCGCTAGGACAGAGTCAATGCTTTCGACAGTTGTTCAACAGCGCTGTCAAGCCATGTATTCCTTACAGGACGGCGATCGCGTTCTGGTATGTATGTCTTTGTATATGCTGATATCTTCCTGACTTTTTTCGTTATTCCCCCCTCTTTTTTTTTTTTCTGCACCGGACCGTACTTGATCTGGACAACAGTACATGCATCTGGGATATGCTTTCGAATGCAAGGCCCGACACTCCAGTTGCTGAGATCCATCAGGTGCTGAACGAACAGTATCGAGAGCGTCAACCTAGCATTGCTATCATAGGACACAGCGTCTTGATTACTACCGGACCAATTGCAGTCGATAGTTGTAGCTGCCTCAGAGTACCAGTACAATGGTTGACGTTGCAGATCGACACGCTGGATGATTGCATCTCGAAGTCTTGGCCAGATATGGAAGTCAATGTAAATAGGATGTGGAACGAGTATCTGGTATGGCGTTGGTCTATACCAGTCTAGAATAACAAGATATGTTGCCGGCATCGGGTAGACGAACCATCGCATGAGAAGCCACTGGAGCCACATGACGGCCATGCGACACGGCAAGGACGGGATGCCAAAGCTATTAGCAAGTCTTGCGGTCCACTGCGATAGCAAGGAAGTCCTCTGGAAAGCAGGCTCGCTCATGAGGGCTTCAACAGCTGGAATGAGTCCGAACAAGCGATCTGGAGTGACACTGGAGACGACGAGTCTTTTGGCTTCATGAATGAAGTTGACGTAGACACTGGACATCATGTCCACATGGTCCTTGACATATATAGAGGCGACTGCCCATGCAGGTGCAGTTAAGTTCACACCAAGTGACTTGGAGGCGAGAGGCAGCGATGATGGGGCAGTTCCGACAGGGCTAAATAGGTTCGACGAGATGGTGATGCTATCGCCTCCCGAACGAGCTTCGTTGTTCAGCAGTTCACATTCCGCCCTGTGGTCGGCGAGAATCTTTGTGTGCCTGTCCAACGCGACCGAGCCTAGGCATGAACTTGAGTCTGTTGTGGACGAGGATAGGAGAGATCGATCCATGACTTCTTGTGGTCGTCTGCAAGGTAAGTCGAGTCTGAAGTATTGCCATCGAGCATCAGGGACGACTTTTGCTTGGGGCTTTGCATGTCCAGGTACGCATCATCCTCAAACAACAAGTGTTGCAAGTTAATCTCGACGAACAACGACGGTGCCCAAGGAGAAGCCGTATGTTCTAGTCGTGGTAGACTTGCTTCTCCCTTGCCCTCGTCCATCAAAGCAACACTGCCTGCTGCAACACTGACACTCCGCTCCGAAAGCGTTGAATTGTATAGAGGAAGGCTGGTGAGCATAGACGGACCTGTTGGATTGTGAGCAGATCCGATGCCAAACGTCGACACGCTTTTGAGTGTCGGCAACGCCCTATTCGAAGGGTCAGCCAAAGACTTGCAAGAAGCACAACATCATCGCGCGCACACGAAACATACTGCTCTTTCAGCTGCTCTCCTTCAGCCATGTCCGAAATGCCGTCGGCCATGTCGACGCCAAGGATCCTGTCGATTGTGTCTCCAAGTCTAAGCTGGGCGAGGATTGCGCTCGCTTCATTGTCGGTGCTATACCTCAACTTGTTGACAAACAACTCGAGATTTCGTACTCTCAGCGAAAGCGACGAGACCTTTTTTTCCAGGTCTTCGGTTCGTGTTGCACCCTCAACGACACCATAAGCGCATGACAGTCCTCTGGTCTGACACGCAGAACATGAAGGCCGCTCGCCATTGCACTGAATTCAAACACTTGTCAGCAGCTCTAGCAACATAAGCAAAAGTTGTTGGGTGAGGATTGCTAAGTACCTTGCGCTTCTGTTTGCGACAGTCAACACAGGCGACGGCAGTGAGTTTCCTGAGTGCATTCTGATGACCGCCCGAAGGTACAGGCGTTTCTGCATCGACAACAGTGGTTCTCCCACGTTGTCTGTATCTGTCCTGAGGCATTGGACGATGATGGTATACCATGGACCATCCATGAGAAACCGAGCCCTTGTTCTGAGATCCGGCTTTTTACCACGGAGTTGGCCCCGCAGTATTATGGTAACACGCTGAGTGTCAGAGCTTGGCTTTCGAAGCGTCAGCGGTGCGACAAGAAGACGCCTCGAGATCGAGCGTTACCAATTGAACCCTTCTAAGCTCTGCCGGGACGGACTTGGTCCTGCCACAGGAGATGGCCTGAGGTGGGAGGGTTGAACAGGTATGTATCCAACACCATGTACTTTGAACAACAACGATTGGAGAGTGAAGAGGAAGGAACGAGGGAATACGAAATCGTCAAGGGCAGGTTCAGCGTGACACACATATGATTAAGGTCATTGAGAAAACCTCGGCAATGTTGCCGAGAACCTGACTTCTAGAGCTGACTGATTACTATGCGTCTTTACAGGTCTGGTCACCCAAACTGCTTACATGGCAAACTCAAAGGTGAAAAGCCCGTTCGAACCACATAGTGTGGACTAGGATTAACTAGGTAGAGAGGATGGAGGCCTAAAAGCTCATCGGGAGGAACTCCGTATCTCGTCGAATGCCTTACCTGCTCCCCGTAAATCATAGCAGCCTGCTCCGTAGTCGTTTGTTGCTCCTATTGTAGCATGACTTGCGACCCGGAGATGCAGCTCTCCTTTGCAATGCCTCTTTCAGCGCTCGAGATGCGATCGGTTGGGACTATTTATTTGCATCGAGATATCCAACCAACACTCTCGATATGGAAGGGATGGGGCAGATGGAAAGCATGAATAGAATGCATCGCTCGATATGGACATATGTACTTCTAACAGATGTTGGTATCCGGGTATTCACAAGTATGCTTGAGATGTCGAGGTTTGACCAAGCACAGAGAAATCTAAAAATCTAACCATGGACGATCTTTAAGCGCCGTGCTTTCTTGTGCACCCCCGAGCACGTCCAGCGTGACCTATGTATACGGTTCAAGCAAGCCGATCGAAACAGTGGATGTGACAGCCGGTATTTGGAGTCACCCCCGAGTTGCAAGTACTGTACGACTTGCTTGCGGAGGCGGGCCACATCGCCGATGGGACACCCTTACATGGGCCAAATTCGTTACTCGAGTCGCAATTATGGCATGTTCGCGGATATGGGCTGCCTTGCCGGTATGTCAAACTAACTTATCGTTTGACGGTATTCTTGATTGTCATGTCGTCCCCCGTCGGTTTGCCTGAACCTAAGGTCAATGCGAAACACCCTTGAAGTTGCCATCATTCGAATCACGATCCTTTGCGATTTACAAGGCGAACTTGTTCTTTGGTCGTTCATACTCGTATCTCCGTACATTCGTACCAAGTGGCAGCGGTAGGAATCCTTGCTGCTAGGGTGACGAGCGAACCCTAGTGTTACGGATTGAACAGTTTGCCTACGACACAACAAGGATTTGCTGAGTAAAGGAAGTGAGAAGGAGATCCCTCCTTCGTGCGACAGGCACGCGTGCCAAGCTCGGAACAGCCGAGCTTTGAGTTCAGGGTCCAGGGTCGGACCAATAACAGCGGCGTTGTCACGCAGCTTCCGTCAAGCGAATCTAGGACCCAATGTAGCACGCGGGCAATCATAGCGGTTGCTGCATCTGTCTGATAGGGCGTGATTTGCAGACTGCTTATCTCGAACTTAGTGACTTACGATTCGCTATGGTCCTTGTGCGTGCAGACACATGAATGTGCGCGCTATTCAACGGATGTGAAGATACCTTGTAAGGATACTTTGGAGCGAGATGGTGCTGTCTCGATTATGTGGTAAGTAAGCGCCAACGTTCGTGGGGGCGGCCATCTGCCCGTAACTCTCCACAAGTTCGTGCTCGCTATGGGTTAACCACGCTAGGTAGTTACGGTTGCCACTATGGACCCGCTTTTTCGCTGAAGTATCAGAAAACTATTGACTCATGACTTCGTTTTGAGAAATGTTCCAAGGGTCCTTTGACCAGCAGCATCCGTAAATATAGGCTAAGGTCGAGGTTGAGTTTAGAGTTAGAGGTTTCATGCAGCTGCACCGTAGTTTATGGCATGTGAGCCTTGAAACAAAGTGTAAGGTCCAAGAAAGAGCAGCGCCACAAGGGATAAAACAACGTCGCAACGGTTGCATGCAATAGAGAAGGGGATTCTCAGCCTCTGGTACCAAAGACCGCAGTATCGCTCTTGCGGAGTCGGGTGCAAGTGCTGATGAAAGCGAGCTAGTTGGACGAAACACATGATTTGACATGACGTTTTGATTTGCTTCGGCCGATGTGCAGGATCCGAACCATTCAGCCCAGTGACAGAAGTCTAATAGTTAAACAGACATGAGTCAAAAGGCAGGTTCAGTTCACCAGAAAGATGCAGGATGGGACATAGCACATGCAAGGTACGAGTTTCATGAAGGGTCAATACTCGATAGGGTTGCGGGAAGCGGGATAGTCATTGAACATGCCGTCGCGAACATGAGCAAGACGTGATCAACAGTTCTGCAGCCTGATGCATACAATGTTGGGTTGACATTCACTAGGCACTTCGGAGTTAGGACCGAACACTATGAATACACGGTACAAGTTTTAGACCACAAACAGATACCTTGCTGGGGGTTTCCCAGTTCTGACGATTCGCAGATGCAGGGAAGAATCGTTTGAGGTAATAATTCACGCTTCCGAAGTCTTCTTCACCAGCAGCAGCAACAGCAGCAGCAGTTGAACTGGTTCTGCAGGTAGCTAGCTGTCTCCATGAGATCACTCAGACAATCAACGGTCACTCTAGCTGGCTTTGGATGGAAATTGACCTTGCGTTCCGGCCGAAGCCGAGGTCCAATTCCGGTAGTCCTTGTGGAGCACGGACTTTTTCGGTCAGAGAAGACTGTGTAAGTGATGTTGAGAGCTGAAAGAGATGAGGATTGAAGGATCGTGTGTGTGTGGGTTTTCGAAGATGATAGAACTTTAACGTTGGACCCACCATCCTCTGAACAGAATAAAGAGCCGTCGCGAGATAATGATCTTTCCCTCTGAGAGACTGACCACCCATTCATCTTTCAAATCTCACCTTACCTCACAACCAGCACTCTCAGACAGGGTCTTTCTAACCTGATCTACTCATTCTGTCAGCAGTTCTTTGCAATCAAACATGGAATACCAACAAGCTTACGTGACGACGGGCGCCTGTCACCATCCCGTATGTGCACGTCACAATCAAGATTACACGCATACACATACTTTGTGGTCGAGTGTGCCACAAGTACGCAAGCCCTATGACAGGTCGCACAACGTATGTACTCATGCCGTCTCAGTATCCGTACGGCTATGAGCAGCACACACTTGCTCGGTCTGTAGGCAGCACCTTGGCCCAGGCTCCGATCATGACTTCAGACCACACAACACCACCTGAACCGGTAGTTCTTGACGGCCACAAAAGGTATGCGACCGTCCCACCAGGACAGCCTTTGATGTATTGGAAGGGCGTTGGGGTCGACGATGGGCAACCTACCTCTCCGACCGTAGAGTTAAACGTTGATGAACTCCTGGAGTATCGAAGACGACGCAGCCACGCCACATCTGAGGTGAAGGAGCCTCTGACACCAGCACAGCGAAGGCGAAAGACACAGAATCGAGCAGCGTATGTATCCAGACTTTCAAGTTTCGTGAAGGACCCCATTGCTGACACGTCGCGGTGGCTATAGTCAACGAGCGTTTCGTGATCGCAAACGTCAGCAAGTACAAGAACTAGAAGCTCAACTCTCAGCTCTGGAACTACGGACCAACTCCTTGGAATCAGACAATGAGAGACTTAAGCATGAGCTGCTCCTGGAACGAGAAGAAAATGAGGCTCTACGAAGCATCACTCGACCTCGACCGCCGCGTTATCTTGTCGGATAAGATCGCGCGTCACGGGATTTGTACTCGTGAAGAGAAGTGTCAAGTAAGTGAAACAAGTAGTGTGTTTGTAGTGTAGACCGAAGGGACTGTTGGAATAACTATTTGACTTGAACGCAGGAGCTCACTCTTGCAGGTTGTGAGCGACTTATATACATCAATTCATGCACGGTATCGAGCTCCTATGCAGAAGAGGAAGAAGCTGAGAAAGAAGGACAAGCCGAAGAAGAGGCACAAACTGAAGAGAAGGGAGGATATGAAGAAGAAGAAAATGAGAAGAAAGACTCATGATCGCCTGGGGATGGAAACATGGTAGTCTGCTGGTATTTGGATGGCGGAAGAGTTTATGGTTTCTGCTGGGTGTCAATGTTGTTGTTGTCTACAGATGTTTTTGTTTTGCGGAGTGGTTTTTTGCCCCCACGGAATTCTATACCCCCTCTTCGTGGCTCTCCTCTTTATGGTTTCACCGGCAATGCAACATCGCCTTTCAGCATAGCAGGTCTAGGCATCACGAATCTCAATTTACTCTGCTTGATAATCTGATCGACGGCATTCTGATCCTCGAGGGTCTGTTTCATATTTGAAAACAACATTGTTGCTCGCATGACGAAATTGAGATTCCTGAATGAGGATCCAGCGCCAAACATCGACATCAAGATAACCTTTAGGACTTTGTTGTTTGAGGCCTTTACTGCTTTGATGACAGCGGTTGCAGATTGAGACATGAAGAGAGGAGAGGTTGTTGCAGAAAAATGGTTTCCGGAAGTGCGGGTCTGACCGAGTGTGCTGATTATCACTACTGGACCGGTGGTGAGTGAGAGAGCGGTGGTGATGGCGGAAGGATCCAGGGGAGAGCCTTTGGAGATTGAGCTATTCGCACCAACATTCGCGTTGCTCGTCCCTCTTCCCAGCATGCTCGCGACAAGGGGTGGAACTAATACGTGTGTGTTACTAAAGTTGGGTAACTACTATTATAATACGGAAGCCCTTATGTTGCGGCTTCTCCGCATTACCTGACTTCCCTTTGCTACGTCTGCCACCCTGACTGCCATATTGCAACAGAAAACGATATCAAAAAATCAGGGGCATGAGTGCAAGACCGTCTAAGTGAAGAACAAACAAACCACAACGGAAGACCCGACGAAGCATATTCACGACAGTAAACAGTCACAGCACAACATGAAATGGCACATCAAACACAGTCAAACTTTTGTGGAATCTCACTGCCAATCTAAAGCAGGTAAAAGTTCCTCTAGACCAGAAAGGAAGTAACACCTCTATACAACCAGCTCAAAACGACCCAGCATTTAGAAATCATCGTGGTCACCGCTAGTAGCAGCAGAAGCGACGTTAGAGGGAACGTCAGAGGCACCAGCGTCGGAAGCCTTGTCGACAGCCATGTGGATGTCAGTGGAGACATCGACAGTGTCGGAGTCGTTGACGATGTAGGTCTTGACGACGGGGTCGACGGAGAGGACGGTAGGGACGCTGGGCTTAACGGCGTGGGTGACCTCAATGTCGACCTTGATACGCTCGTGGTCGGAGGCGAGCTCGTCGAAGTCACTGCCGGGCTCGGTGGCAGCGCGCTTCAGGGTGTTGGCGGTAGTGTTCTGGCATGTGGGTTAGCATGAGCTAATATGGGCAAGCATCAAGTCACATACCTCAGGGACAGCAGCGGCAGCGTCAGCGGAAACGAGGATGCTGGAGACGTTGCGAATCTCCTCCTCGGTGGGGTAGACGATCTTGCCTCTCTTCATGGTGATAGGACGCTTAGCTGGAATCTCATCCTCAGAGTCGGCGGACGCATCCTTGATGACAGGCTTGCTAGCCTTCAGAGATTTGCGGGTGCCACGGCGCATGGCGACAGGCTGAGTGGCCTTTCTGGTTCTGGTAGGCCTAGGCTTGGCCTTAACAGTATATGTTGCTCAGTAAAAAGTCCAAAAACGATCAGAATCAGGGTTTCTGGAATTGATTGTAACATGTCAGGAACTGGACATTGGATTGACGTGCAATTCGGTGTGTGGTATGCATCTCTCTGCGTTGAAGATGTCGTTTGTCGCATGACGAACGGACATAGCCCGAATGACGGCGCCGAGGATTAGAGTCATGGTCTCATTGAGTTGTTCGGGTACATCATTTTTGCCTCTGCCCTTGCAGAAGCACTCATGAAGATAGAAGCATAGTCGCGTCGCATGATCCGTAGGAAAGCATACCAGTTCATAGAGTTGTTCTCTAGTGAAGCACTAGTAACCAGAGTGCAGCACACTCTTTGCAGAGCGTAACAAGCCTCTGTGGCACTGACTCCTTTGCCGATGTTGGTGGCCTCGTCGAAGATGATTTCTTCCCAGAACATACCATAAGCAAACCATGGGTCATGATTGTTTTAAGCTTTCTTGGTGGTGCTCGGGCTTCACGTCTCTCGAATTTGGCAGCTGCCTTGTCTTTGGCCGTGATGCTCAAGCTCTTGTACTCGCAGAGAGTTGCTGCATGGAAAGCCTTCTTGATCTCTTGGGTCCAGACATTCAGAAATGAGGTAGGAGCAACGATCGATGCTTGTCCTTTGCGTTTTGACAAAATGAAAGGCGAGGCTCTGGACCTTGCCTTGAGCCACGTCCTGTAGCAATATGCAGCCTGCATGTGTCTTATTGATGTGTGAAGCCGTGCCGATGTCTGCGAGCTGGTAATCGGACAATCTGGTTTCTTCGACAACTCAGGCCAAGTCTGTTGCCGATCGAGAATCCGGTTGCAGCATGTGTGTCAGAATGTCTTGTTGGTAATGTAGACATGCTACACACCGATTCTCGTCTACTATGCCGTATCGATGAATTGAGGGAGCTCTGTTGCAGACGAAGTTCCGTTCGCGGGCGCATGATAGGCAGATGGTCAGAAGCGCCAGCAAGAATGCGGAGGCCAAGTGTCTCTGATAGGACAACCAAGGATATACGACCCGACAAGCCTTGCAAGATTTCTTCCGCAGTGTGATTGATTGTGTCAATAGTAGCAGCAACTCTTGTGTTGTCAAGTGGACGCCAATCCAAATATGAAGCGAGCAATCTTGATTGTTGACTGGCGATGGATCTCCGAGATGACAGTTCGCTGACCTCTTGTCACTGTAGGTGCCTCGCCATTGAACGCAGACCTGGTTTCCGGCGATAGCCCGGGCGATGCAGCACTGCTCGCCCGTGCATCACGGCATGCAACCAGTGTCCCTTGCTCCTGATGTTTTGCTGATATCGTGTGACGCTTCTCTTGCACTCGCTGTACTCAAAAGCGCTCACGCGGCGGCTAGGGATCTGGGGATGGCAAAGATTCGTGCGTGTGCCGTCAAGACCGTGCTACTGACAGGACACGGCGCACGGGCCTCGCCTGCTGCATCTCGGCGGCCTTCGCTGTTCGTCGCAAGTAGAATCTAAGACCCAAAACAATCCAAACTGCCTCTCTGCCACTCGTCGCTGCAGATACCAGTCACTTCTCATGTCATCACCCGTATCGCCGTCTAAAGCGCACCAAGACCGTCTCCCGCCATCGCCCCCAAAATCGCCAGGTTCATCCCTCTCACGTATTGTGTCGCACGTTGCCGCTCTACATAGTGGTGATCCAAGCACTCGGACTGCGCCATTGCAGGCCTTTTCGATACTCGAGTCTGAGTACGCGCAGTTGGATCCTTGTCTTGAAAAGGTCGGTCTGTACGACTTCTACCACAACGAAGTTCGGTAAGCTACACAGTGCAGACCCACAGTCATCTGCGTACGTCGAATTGATGAGCTTTTAGGCACGACTACGATCCGTCGAGGGGACATCTGATTTTCCGCATGCCCACACGCCAGCACGATGTTCTTGCACACAAATTCGTCCAGCTAATCTTGACCAAGATCACTGCGCTAGCCCGCATCCTCGAGCAAGATTACCCAGCCATTTCTCGTCGCCTCCTCCAGCTCCAGACTATGACAACATCCGATATAGACCTGATCAGCGACGACGACGGCCTTAAACTGGGCCACAAGTCACCCGATGCCTCCATCGGCTATGAAGAATTGGGATTTCCTCAGGCCGTCTTCGAGGTCTCGTACAGCCAGGCTCACAAAAAGCTCGCGCCTCTCGCATGGTCATACATTATGGGCACACGCCATGCTGTCCGTTGTGTCGTGGGCTTGGATCTGGACTATCCACGAAAAAGTGCGCCATCTGTCCCTCCTCCTGCTCGCAGCGCGAGTGTCAGCATATGGCGTCCCCTAGTCGAGATCGAAGGAAACATCAAGAATATGGATGTAAAACAAGAAACCACAGATCAATGCCTTGGAGAACTCAACCCGGACCATGCAATAGCAGTCCTTTGTATACGAGACCTGCTAAGCAATGAATATCTGGAAGGCACTTCGCTTGACATCGCTGAACGTGAGATTGTCATCACATCCAGAGAGATGACTGATATTCTCGCGAGCGCAGAGAATTGCCAGAAGAGCACACATCGAAATGTGGAAAAACTTCTTCAGGACAGCCAGGATCAGAATTGCAATTGGCGAAAGCGACGCCCCACGCCTGACGAAGAGTTGAGTGACGGAAGAGAAGCGAAATACAGAATCACCGAGTCGATAGTGGAACAGCAGAGGTCAGATGACGACACGTCCTATATGCCTGCATCTGGATCATCCGCGGGGTCTCACAGCGGTCTTCCTCGTCGTTCAACTCGTTCGCGGATCGACGCCTGATGGTTCGGTGTAAAACCATTACATCTCAGCACAAGCCTGCAACTCTCGATTATACTTGAATACCATTGTCATTCATCATGATTGCGTTTGAAAGCTGCGGGAACAGAACTCGCATGACCGTTGGTCCACGCTTGCGACTCTAAATTCCTATCGTTAAACGCTTCTGCAGACTTTCTCGATACGTCACGAGGCTTATATCTTACGCCGGCGACAGTCCGGCTGTACAAATTCGACAGCCTCTGCTCACAGCGGAATAATCGCTCGGCGATGGAGACCGGATTGGTGTTCCTCCCATGATCAATCACTGCTTAATATCAACTCGAACGACCTCTTCAAGTCCACAAAAACGCATTTCTAGTCATGGTTTACTCATCATTGTGTCTTCTCGTGCTAATGGCAAAGCTTAGATGTGTCTTTCAGTGCTAATATCAAGGTACAGACTAATAGCAATGAGATCAAAGAACCAATATCTCTTAAGAATAAATTCACCTTAAATACCATTGTATGCTTTCTGTGGAAGTCCATTCAACAACTGACTTTGCGTCGAAATGCCTTGTAGCTCCTTCTTTACGACTTATAGGCGGGTTTGACACTCATCAGTAGTCTTGTCCATCATGTTGCGGAGGACGTCTGGCGATTTCTCCTGGTACATCAAGCTGCCGGATAAAAGGGTCACTCTTTCAGCAAATGCGAGGGATGAGTTCAGTAAGAGTTTTTATATCTACCAGTCGGAACATGATAGCAGTCACTGTAAACGATAGCTTTTGGGGCCGCATTCGATTACAAGTCAGAAGATCACCTGCACGATGTATAGAACAGAGATGGGAGAAAATCGCGTCGCTCCGTAAGAAGTGTTGACGGATTACCCATCAAGGTGTTCAAGGCACGGACACTTGGCGGCAATGCTTGTTGCAAACAAAAGTTGCAGTCCCCACCAGCTCGCGTCACATAATCTCAGGCCTCATCAACAAGTCAGATCGTTCCCACAAGCCAATTGCCTGTTCTATCAGGCCAGCTCATCCTACACAAGCAATACAGCAAAGTCGACACATCACCGACCGCTGAGGCTGCGCAGCAAATGCGCCGCTGCAACGCGGGAGTCACATTCTCCGGCTTATGGCCAATGCCCTTCGTTTCGCTCAACCAAAATGGTACTCGACAAGGAAATAGCACGATGACCCTGATCATGCAAGTACAAGTCACAGAACATCGGCAACGCTCCAACTCTGTTGATCCGTCCATCCACTCGTCCTAAGATGCTCCAGCTACAACCTTCATCCCACCATGCGCACGTCAGAATTCCTCGGACTGTTGGTCTTCAGGCCTCGGACCTCAGGCTGGGGCGCCGGATGCAAGATTTTGAAAGTCTCGTTTGCTAAACGGACGTGGACGTGAAGGCGGTTTTGAGTATCTAAGGTAGTCTATCGAGGGTATATCGACACAGCGATGGCATGATGAGCCACAAGACACTCGGAAAAACTCGACCAGCAAGAGGCCTGTGTCTGCGTCCTCCACGCCTTGCTCTGGCCGAGCCAACATCACCTGTATGTTTTCGTGATCTGCTATGCAATTGTCAAAAATCACTAATCAGTGTGCATAGCCTAGAGTTTGTCACTCAACTCTGCCGTGGCCTCTTCCAGCAAACGCCAACGACTCATCTCCGAATGCCAACAAGAAGTATGTCCCAAGCTATAATCGTCAAAGCCATGGGCAATGCCAATCGAGGAACTAATAAAGAATCTCTTTGCGCGCATTCTGGACTCGATCAGGCTGAGCTGGAGTCCTTGATCGAAAAGATTGGTGAAATGATCGGCGCAGAATTTGAGCTTGCACATATTAAGCCTGGCCACAAGATCAGTTGAGGCGTCAAAGCTACAGCTGCTCGCTATGGTACTCAGACGAGACTGGTCTGACCTGAAAAAATTGACCAAAACTTCGAGACCCGAGCCATTCGTCCAGGCTATCGACGCCTTGACCAAGACAATCGACTAGCGCAGCAGATTTCTCCACGACAAGAAAAGCGACAAGTTTGTCAAGTCAGCCGTCCAGCTTTGGTTCTGGAAGACCCTTAGTGACAGAAAGAAAGAAGGCGCAGGCGCAGGCGCGACAAAGAAGCTGGTGATGAGGAAGTTAAAGATAGTCTCGACGTGGATCTCAAGGTCTCTGGCGCGATTTTGCTCGATTCCCTAACCGCAGTCAATTTCAAGCTCCGAGCCACAGTAGTCCCTCATCGCTCAATGATGCTATGGACAACATGACTATTGCTCAAATGATTCTTAATCTCACAAAGGTGGCTCCACATGACGATCCTGCCAGTCCCGATGCTAAAGCCAATGTCACCTTGAAAGATTCGCCTAAGCTCGGCATTCAATCTTGCGTCTTTCATTGAGCGGCTTTTCCGCCAATGCTAGCGGTAAATTTGCCGAACACTCTGATGAAGAGAAGCCAAAGAAACAGGTTTATGCTTTTGCGAAGTTTGATATTCCTGATGTTGGATATGGTTCACAGGAAGGCACCCCGCTTCCACGAGCTTCTGCACTCGAGCGCACTTCACCGAGCACTGACCAGACTTCGGTGTGATTGCGTATGCATGCAACGCAGCAACTACTCGTAGCTTTGTGTGCTACTTGAATCAAAGCGGAGATATGTTCAAGCAACTGCCATCGAAGATAATCGGAAGCCATCATGGCGGGGTTAATTTCCTTACGTCTGATGTCAAAAACCACACACCTGAACCCGGTCCTGAATCGTCTGTATCTCCTGCCTCTGAGCCATCGAACAAGTTCCAGCCATCGGTCAAGTCTAGCACAAAGCCCAAACCCTCTATGAACTGCTGTTACATGTTCCTCTCGGATACAACAGATCAAGAGATTTGATGACGATCAGCTAAGCACAAAACCTGGTCCCATGCGACCGGTCTTGCCTCCTCCTACATTTGCCTCTGCCGAGACATTGGACCTGGACGCGATTATCCATCTCAGCTTTGTCAATTGTCATTCTCCGGCATGAGCTCTGTTTCAACGAACAAGGCTGACACCGAGTGCTCCACTGAGAGCATCCTCAAGTAAGGCGACCTTACACGTATGAACATCTTTCTCTGGCAGCTCTCATGTCAGTCAGTTGGTTTTGATCCGAACGAGCCCAACCCCGACTGAGGCATTCTTTTCGAGCAATGGACTAATGAGCAGATTAGCCAGGCCCCTCAGGTCTACAGTCGCTCTTTCCTATTGCAAAGTCCTGTCAAGAGAAGTTTCTGGGCGATTCTCCAAGACGCCATCATAATGCGACGTTGAGACTTGAAAGTCGCAGCAAAATTGGCCGTGCTTGTCGACGCGCGAGGATGCTCTTCTCCAACCACCTTCTTGCCTGTCCTCAACACCGATGACTTTAGCTTTTCGGCCTCTTTCCACCGCCTCTAGTCAGAGTACGACGACGCAGGATTGGTCATTGCGATCATCGTGTCAGGATGCCTTTACCCTAGCAGCTTCTCTCTCACGTCTGTGGAGCCACCTGCTAACCGTCCTGCATCCATTCATCCCAAAAGCAAGTCATAGCATAGAAGAAGCGCTTACTATTATTTAAAGATATTTTGATCACACTTACTATTATTTAAAGATATTTTGATCACACTGCCATAACTTTGTGACGGCCAACGCAGACAATTTCAGCGCGTGGTCAAACCAAGAGCTATCTGCAAATCGGCCGCATGTTTCCCTGTATAACCGTTTCCTACTATGACATTCGTCTTAATCCACAAAGTTATATCTCAATAAAGTTTCAGAAAGTATGATGGTCTGCCACACCTTCACTCTCACTACCAAAGCGTGTCAGTACCAGGGACACACTGATGGGTGTATTGCAACATTCACTCAACGGTAAAAATCGAGATTCGGAGACTTCTTCTCACAGCTTGGGAACCTAACAACTGCCCATCTTAATCACTGTAGCCGCACTATCTTCACTTTACCTGACTATATCACACCATCACACCTCCAGCAACTAAATATTCTCCAATTCTGTCCAACCTCGTTTCCCCCTCTGCGTCCACCACCAGCACCATGTCTACTGACAAGATCCGGAAGCGATTTCTCGAAGACGATTCGTCTTCTGAAGAGGAGGCTCCTCGAAGAAATAAGTAGAAAATCCGGCCGCGCAGACGGACATGTCTCGTATGTGACGCTGAGAAAGGCATCAACCAGTTTCCGAGCCACAAGAAAGTCTCTTTACACGAGCATGACCACAACGTCTGTCGCTCCTACTACCGCAGCCACCTGAAGAGTGAAATCGACTCAAAAGACTGGAATGGGGTTGCATGTCCAGAATGTTCGATGACGTTGATCTACAGAGAAGTTAAGAATATGACAACCGCTAGGAACTTTGCCAAGTACGCCATTGAGGATTTGGAATACGATCGATCCCACTGACAAAGAACGACAGATATGAGCAAGCATGCATCAGAGTAACTCTTGCAGCAGACCCAGATTAGAGTAACAATTCGTATCGCAATAGATAACTCAAGATCAAATTTGAGGACTATTTTCTCAACCCAATTATGTTTGATGAACTTTCTGAACCATACATTATCGACCACGAGTTGCTTGACCTCGCATAACATAGAATATCGAGAGCCAAGCTTCCTTCAATTACAAAAGAATTGCTACCACGAAGATCGTCGCTTTCCAGCACAAGAACCTACTCAGTATAGGCTCAAGTTTGGAAATTGCAAGCATGTCTTCAGGAGCCAGCCCGAGAACATCCACAAAGCAACGACATTGTAGAGTAAAGTTCTACCCAGATGCAATCTACCGCTAATGTCGTATACAAGATTCTAATATGAGCTCAGCATCGTGGCCGTCCATGGCATCGGAGCGCATCCTGACGATAACTGGTGTAAAATCCGAGGCGCTGATCTCGACGCGATGAACCCCGAGAATTATGTCAACTGGCTGAGTGACTCGGCCATGTTACCAGAAGTCATCCCGAACACACGTATCACGAGATATTGCTACAAGTCCGTGTGGTTCGGTCCGGACGCGATCAAACAAAATTCGTCGCGTGTTGCGCAACGGTTGTTGCTAGCACTCAGACGAGAAAGAAAGGTGAAGTGACGCACTCCCTACTTCCAGTTTTCGAGTGCCATTGCTGGGACGCGCACTGCAGGACTTTCCTTTTCGACCATTGATCTTCATCGCTCACTGCTTTGGCGGGCTGGTTGTACTAAAGGTTAACAATAGCAGCTAGCTCTTCGAACATGTTCAGACATGTGGACATCAAGGCTGACCGGGAAGTACAGGCACTTCAAGAAGCCTATCATGACACCAAAGAATGGCAGGGCATCTTTCAATCCATGACCGGCTTGATCTTCTTCGGTGCCCCCTTCCGTGGTGCCGAGGGTATGAGCCAGAGTGAGATGCTGCAGGCCGCGCGCAGCGAATACGAGCAAGAAGAAGTGCTCACTGAGGTGCTGCGTATCCTAGACCCAGGCAATGAGCTGCTACAAGACTTGGTGGACAGCTTCGGCAAGGCACGGTCGCTGCAGAACAGGGCACAAGTTGCGTCCTTCTATGAGCTGCAGTCTAGCAACGTTGGAGCGATCGTAGGAAAACAAAAGAAGAAGGTAAGAGTAGTGTCCTATACCGTTTCTCATGCATATTATCTTCGAGGAAGCTACCTTTTATATCCATTTTCGCTGGAGTAGGCAGATATGTGGCTAATAAAATGTGCAGAGATTCGTGGTCAGCGAGAGCTCAGGCTGCCTCGATGTGTCCGAGGCGACTGAGAAGTACTCACTTGAGCGCAGCCACTTCAACATGAACAAATTTTGCAAGCCTAATGAAGAGGACTTCAAGACGGCGTCTGAAGTGATGCCTGGCACGCTCGAGGTGTACGTAAACTCCCTCGTGTATGTTTGTTTCGCTGATAGCATGTTGAGTTCTAATGCATGTCATACTCAGATCAAGACAAGCACCATGTCTCTTTTAGCAATTCATCGCCTACACACCAGGTACTGTTCGTCCACCAGCGCTAACATCGTATATTCAAGAGAAGCATAGAGTCCCTTTCAGTTTGAAGGGTGTTCCCGCCATTGATCACTTTGTGCAACGAGCCAGTGATATGCAACAACTGGAGGAACACTTCTTCCCTCAGGAGCCCGACCTCACTCGTCGCAAGAAGTTTGTGGTTCACGGCCTTGGTGGCATCGGCAAGACGCAGCTTTGCATTGAATTCGTCCGAGGATATCAAGAAAAGTATAGTGCAGTGTTCTGGCTCGATGGGTCATCGTAAGATGCTCGACAACGGTCCTTCATCGATATTGTTGCAAGACTTCCTGCTGATGAGGTGCCGCTCGGTCTCATCCGTGCTGCGGAACAAGCCAGTCCGGATCAGCGCTCAATTGTACGAGCATCGTACAATATCTGGAGTACTACGACAGCACGTGAGAAGATTTGATAAAAATGCAAGACGAGTACCCGTTGCAAGGGTATGCACAACGAAGTGTTTTGACAACCTGGAAAATATCTCACGAGCAAATAAAGAGCCAGAGCGAGGAGGCCAGTAATCTCTTGCAACTCTGGATCTTCGGTATGAGCTTCTTGCTTGTACTAAGGGGATCGACACAGAGACTGTTGTGCCAGACTGGCTAAGAGTGCTGACACAAGATAAGCTAGCATTTGACGGCACTCTGGTTCTACTTATCAAGTATTCGTTAGTTGAGGGCAAGACAGAGGCAGCTAGCTACGCTATGCATTCCGTTCTACGCTCCTGGTGCCGCTATCTAGGGGAAAGCAAGACTGAGAGGGACTCATTTCAGAAACTAGCGGTAGACATAGTCAGACAAATTATGCCGTCCAAGATGGAGGAGGAGTATTGGGTTCTTCAGAGAAGGTTACTGCCTCACGGCCAGACAATTCTTACCGGCATGAAGGCGAAGACAGAAGCAGAAACAAACTTCAACCAAACGTGGGCTTATGTGAAGCTGGCTGGCATGGACGGAACCAAGACTGATACGCGGAAGCACAAGACGTGTATAAGCGAGCACTGTCCAGGTGCGAGCAGGGACTAGGGCCCGAGCACGCATCTACACTAGACACAGTCAACGAGCTGGGCATTCTCTACCGCGACCAAGGCAGGCTCGCATAAGCAGAAGAGATGTACGAACGGGCACTAGCGGGGAGCGAGAAAACACTCGGGCCCGAGCATAAGTCCACCATCCAATTAGCTCATGTCCTAAGAACGCTGCGAATATGCCCTAGAGAATCCACTGTTGTTGATGAGGTGGCTGGCTATAAGGCTGATATCTCTAAGTCTTCCAATCCTCGGCTCGCACAGGACGAGACCCTTTTTTCTTCTCTAATAAAATCACCCAGGCTAATGTCTTGAGACGGAGAAAAAAAAGTATCGACTACGCAGACCAGATGCTTTCTTTAAGAGATTTCGCTTTCGTCAGACGTCGCCAGGTGGATAACGAGTTGTTCGACTGTAGCATATGTTATTCATCGCTGTTGTTAGATTCTCATTCCTTAGAACGTGTCTCTTTAGATTGTAAGCAGATCATTATTACATCAAGAAGCTAAAGCTACCTCATGCAAAGACATAGCTTTATGGTAGAGATGATAAGTTCCTACGCTATCTTCACAGACAAAATTATTTCAGGACTGTGCCTCAGACTAGAACGGTCATGATCTAACGTCAGAAACTGGCATATATTTGTGGTCATAGTCATTCGACTTCTAGTTTTAGGACCATGAGTCGCTTGAGTGAACCTTATGATATCTGTTTGCTCGTCATGAACGACCTCTCTGGGCGTGTTTTCAAGGGCAACATGAAGAACTGTCTTCTGATTAGCCAGTCGCCTCATTTCCAGCGTCTTCATATGACTATGGGTAGCCCTCTTGCTTATTTCGTTTGCGGAAGTGCATTCAATGAGTATTGGTCAACACGTGCGCTAATCAGCACATGTCGCGTAACAAGTGTAATGGAGCTACTCAGACTGACGCTTCTGCTTATCAAGGACCAACGTATACGACATCATAGTGGTATATCCCTCAATCGAGAAGACCTTCTGAATGGCCATTGCATTGTCTATGGATGTTTTCACTTATGAATCAGAGACATCTGAAGCGCATCTCACTTTTCAACTCATTTCCCAAGATAGTGTCCTCAGCGGGTATCCGAGCGACCTTGGACGTCCACTACGAAACTAAGTTCCCGCGCGCCCCTTGGGGATTAGCCTTGAAGCTGGTCCCACAGTCAGGCGATTTCGACTAGCCGTGTTCGAGTATGTTTTTCCTGCCAGGGCTGAAGGTCTTGATGGGTCACCTTGGCAGCAAGGCCCAATGACCCATACCAGGAGATGTCCGTGTCATTGGAGATACATCGGCTCGTCTACAATGCGTCTATGAAGCTTTATCATCATCATCAAACAAGCTTTCAGATTTATGTGCGAGGGCATCAAGTTGCTCTAGCGCTCATGTCGTGTCAATCGTTAGATGAAGCGAACGAAAATGAGAGAGTTGACACTTTGGCGAATGAGAAGGGTATCTTGTGCTTCGAGATGGAAGCCGCTGGTCTTATGAATGGCTTCCTGTGTCTAGTAGTACGCGGCGTCTGCGACTACTCTGACTCGCACAAGAATAAAGAGTGGCAGGGCTATGCAGCCATGACAGCAGCTGCCTACGCCAAAGATCTTCTTACAAAGATGGTGCCGAGCAGAATCGAGCAGGAGGAAAGGATCAAAGAGGCGCTAAGATCATGTAAGTAAATTTTTTGCTTGCCAAGACATACATAATCACCATTCGTATTGGCGACAAAGTATCAGAAGAATTTGATGCCCTGCATACCACGACCCAACAAGTGCCCCAGGATGTAGGCGTTCTTCGGATGCAAAAAAACATAAACCGCATCATGAAGTGGCTATCAGCTCCAGATCCATCGATCAATCACAACAAAGCATTAGACCAGCATCACGATAGAACGGGTATTTGGTTCATTCACGGAGGTGCCTTGAAAGAATGGAAGAAACAGACCTGTTCATTTCTTTGGTTGCACGGTATCCCAGGATGTGGTAAGACAGTGCTTAACTCCACCATTATAGAACACCTCAAGCAGGATGCGACCTGTCCACCGCTGCTTTGCTTCTACTTCGACTTTAACGACAAGGACAAACAGTCTCTCGATAATTTGTTGCGCTCTCTTATTGTGCAGATCTACCCATCACAGCCAGGCAGCCGGCAGTCTCTCGAGCACCTATGGGCTCTACACGGCGAAGGAAGTCGACACCATCTACGGAATCTCTGCAAAGTGTGCTCCAAGATATGCTAAGTGGTGTCGGCTTTGTGAGTATCGTCTTGGATGCCTTGGACGAGTCAGAATCAGAGTCGAGAGGCAGACTGCTTGCTTGGCTAAAGTCACTTGTTGATAGTACGGACATCGCTTGTTGGCTTCTGGTCACTGCCAGAAGGGAAGAAGACATCGAGTCAGCCCTTCCATGTTGGACACGCGACGAGAACAGGATATTGATTCAGCAAGATGAAGTGAACAAGGACATTAGCGCATATGTCAGAGACAAAGTGCGCAATGATGGTGACTTCAAAAGATGGCATTCTCGACCAGATCTGCAAAATGAGTTTGAGACCAAGCTGACGGAGAAGGCTGGTGGGATGTTAGTACTACTCAGATGAATGCTTTTGACCTAGAGCAGGCAAGAAATGCTGAATGGCAGATAGGTTCCGTTGGACCTTTTGCCAGATTGAGGCACTGAGAGACTGCTACAAGCCACCGGAGCTCCGCCGCGCACTGGAGAACCTGCCGGAGACGCTAGACAAGTCTCACGCCCTGATTCTGGAAAGCATACCCAAACATAATATAAAAGATGAAACGACCATTCTGAGACTCTTAACGTAGTCCGAAAGGCCCTTGCGGCTGGTGGAGATGATAGATGCAATCACAGTGCAGCCTGATGCAAGACCGAGTTTCGACCCCGACAACCGCATGCCCGAGACTAGAGGTATTCTGAGGATTTGCTCTAGCCTTGTCGTGCTCGTACAGCGATCAGTGCCTGTCGAAGAAGTACGCCAGAAAAGTCCCGATGAGCAGGTAGAAGTGCTGGAGCTACACCTAGCACATTTTTCGGTCAAAGAGTATTTGGTGTCACGCAGCGCTTCATCAGTGTTCGGTGAATTGCTGGAAGAGATCAACGCAAGGGCGACAATCGCTACAATCTGCCTGACGTATTTACCAAGTATTAACCATGACCTATCAATTGTGCATATTAGGGCGAAGTTCGGATTTGCGCAATACCGTGCCACATACTGGGCTGAACATGCAGAAGCTGGCCAGAACGCTGGTGGACCGGTACAAGACTGGATTGTAGAGTTTTTCCATATAGAACATCAGAAATACTTGACCTGCTACAGTCTCTTCCATCCGGACTTCAGTAAAGATCTAACACGTGGTTCGGCGAGATTGGTACGAGCGGCTAGTCCACTATATTTTGCGTCTCTGGGAGGTCTGATTCAACCAGTAAGAGTGTTACTCGCTCAAGGTGCAGATGTGAATGCCAGTGGCGGCGAACATGACAGTGCACTGCAGCCAGCTTCGTAGAAAGGCTACGACGAGATTGTGCAGATGTTGCTCGACAAGAACGCAGACATCACTGCCGAGAGCGGAAGACATGGCAACGTACTGCAGGCCGCTTCAGAAGCAGGTCACCATAAGGTAGTGCAGATGTTATTCGACAGCGGTGCTGATGTCGACACCCGCAAAGGAGAGCGTTACAGAAAGCTTTGTCGACAAGCCAGGAAAAAATGATAACGATGCTGCTCGACAGTGACGCAGACATTCATGTGCAAGGAGGACGCTGGGTAGTATGCTCCAAGCGGCTTCATTGAGCGGGAACAGTGAAGCTTTACAGATGCTGATCAAGAAAGGCGCAGACTTCAACGCTACGGGCGGGTGCTTTGGTAATGCACTGCAGGCGGCTTCATCCCAGGGTCACGAGGAAATTGTACAAATGTTGCTCGACAAGGGCGCAGATGTCAAGGCTAGTGGTAGCCAATGGGTTAGTGCACTGCAGGCAGCTCTGGCGTCCGGCCAGTACTGTCCAAGGCCAAATGTTTTGGAAGAACCGCGCAAGATCATTCAGCTTCGTGTGTGTATTTGGAATCTCGAATAACACCTCCTTGAGGTTACGGCATCGTTCGGCAACATTAACCAGAAGGGAACCTGTAAGCCAATTGGCTCCGCGATCGCCTGTTATATCGGCCAACTTGAGCCTTCGTATGGTGGGCTGCAGACAATTTTGAAACCGGAGTTCCTTCGATGCTACCCGAGGGTCGTCATGTTCATTTTGAGAGCATGACTTCCTGCAACCTTGGGAACGCCAGTCCTTCGAACATTGCATGCACAAGTATACCACCGTATTCGGTAAAGTCAAGCACGCTGACTCGAGAGGAATAAAAATGACGACGAGCTTAGGATAGCCTTGGCTCTCGTCTCGTTATAGCGCCTATCCATTTCAGGACACCCAAGCCAGAGCGCATTCAGTGCAGGGTCAGCCCACGTCTGATTTACGTGTGCACAACGCGCCAGGTCTGAGTCGCATCTGTCGTTACTTAGGCATATGGAGACATCCATCTTGAGCTCTGAGACATCCCAGAATGCAGCGACAACCATATTGGTAGGATACAAATACTGTAGAGGAAGGATAGATAGCAGGTTTTTGTTATCGTCGATAGTGCTGAGGAGTTTCGGAGATGTCGCAAGCGCGGCGAGGTTGATGTATCCATGATCTAGTCACAGTCATGGTCTGACCACGATCTTGCTCAAACACTATCCACCAAGTTATATCACATGTTCCCTCGACACCAGCGCCTCGCATGATTGACAGCATCACACTGAATATTCAACAGCAAGTTGTTGTATACACATAGACAGCGCATCAGCAGCAAGAATGGTAGAAGAGATAAAAGATAAATGCTGCGCACGAACCATATGATCATGAAGACGAACAAAAAAAAAGTGTTGACGATCGTCGATCACAAAAAGAAGGCTTTAGTCACGGCCACTGCGCCCGGTGAAGGGTTCGCGGAGGGTTTGTCGTCGAAGTAGAGTTTGCGACTCCAAGTTTGAGGGGCCTGACCGTTCGTGACACCAAGAAACAATACTATCCAAGCTGCCCCATGAAATAGCAGTGTCATCTGAGACCTCCTCTGTGCTTTCGGTGAACGAAACAGAACGTCTGACGGAAGATATACAGGCCTAGTCGAATCATCGAAGTCTACAGACTGTTCGACTTCCTCGACTCCAAGCACTTTTTTCATGCCACCGTTTTCCAAGCCTTATGTGCTCAGCTGGAGAGCGAGCGTTCAATCCACCGGGAACACAAAAGTTGCTGTAAGAAGACTCGCCATCTGAGGCAGGTGGCGAATTGGAATCGATAAGAAAGTTGGGAGGCAATACTTCGTCGGTTGAACTGCCCCTGAACCTGGCCGCCGGCACCCTTGAACATTGAGAGTTTCCTCCACCACCTTTATGCAGTCATGCAGCAGCTGTAGCTCCAGCTTGTGTGAGGGGTACGGGAGTCAGTCGGCTTTTTGTTCGAATCGTGGACCCCATGCCTTCCCTTACGCCTCTGCGCGTGCGTTGGTTGATGCTAAGAGTTAAGCAGACGGAAGGGGCGAGGAAGTGACAGTGACGAGCACATAACCCACGATTGTGGAAGTTTCGATGCGGGTAACGAGTTCTGGCTCGGTGGCTGAATAGATACATAGCAAGGCTCTGATGACTAAAGACAGTGCGTTCTCACAAGTGATGCTGACAGCAGCCATTAGGAAGTCTAGTCTTCTTTCCAGAATGTTAAACCTAGCTCGAATATCGAAATCGTCAGCAATTTTTAGTTATGTACTATAGCAAGGCCCAGTGAGAACAAGAACAATGAATAGTCGTGATGGAAAAGGTAGCAAGAAAGCGCAATGAAAGCCTTCCTTTTCTCACTCTACGCGGGGGCTCTTGGCAAGTGACTCTGCACATGCCATACCCATCCAGTTCATCACGGCATCCAGAGCTCTCTCTACTGTGATCGCAGGTCGGGCAGAACGAAAGTAGCCAAGACAAATAGACTTCAGTGTCCCTGGAATTGATGGTGAGTTCACTTCGATACGCTCCGACCTTCTCTCTTTCTTTGTGACGAAAAGCCTGTCACTCGCGACTTTCACTTACAGTAAGTCAATCACTGGTTCATGGAATACAGTTATCAAACAGCCTCCCTTAACAGTCCCAGACCTCTTCCTACCACATATCACATGCAGAACAAAGAAGAGAAGAGAAGAAAAAAGGAGAGAGCTGCTGCTGAACGAGCTCGTCTTGAGGTGGGAAGGTCCCGAGCATCTATAGAAGAACCAAGCAACGGGGTCAGCAATCCAAGCAAACCATCCGCTTGCTCCCTTGCATCTCTCTCACCAAAGTGAAAGATACTGCATGACTTTAGGGTGATGGTATCCAATCAGGAGTCGGCTGGGAGAACATGGCTCACAGCTCAGCCAGCCTTGAATACCCCATCGCTTTCCGCCAACGCTTTGACTTACGTGAACGGCATAGAGAAATCTCGTAACGTTTCTGCTGCTGATGTGGACACGGTTTGTATCTGGCGTTGGAGTTGTAGAGAATTGGGACAAAGGTTCGATGCCAGGAGTGGAACTGGTTTATACAACCAGAGATCAGAAGCTGTTGAGAGGCTCAAGGTGCTTGGGTGGTGATTGTATACGCTGCTACACGTCGGACTAGATTTTGAAGAGGTCATCTTGTAGAGCTGGGTTTTTTCTACATTCCGAGCCCCTGATCCCAGGAACCCACCGAAGGAGATTCGCATGACTGGTTGCTGGCGTTCCCAAGTAGTATGGGTAGCGCTTGCTTAGGCTGAACCAGGTGTGGTACATTGCTTGACGGCGATACGTAGAGCAGCTATTGCTGATCATCCCTTTCAACCACCTCCGACCCAGTCACCTTCCGGCTCTCGACGGGGAGCAAAGTTACCTCTAGCCGTGTCGTTCACACACGTCCCCCACACGAACCCCACGGTCGCCTATACTGAACACATCAGCATTGTCACGTCTGCCGACGACACCGACTTACAGTCCCACGTTACTCCTATCGGTGCAAAACCAGCAGCCTCAATCCAAGGCACTGGTTGCTCTGGCCAATGCGCCCATTCGCTGGAATACCTTGTGTCAAAAATATTATTTTTCTGGTTGCCTTCACGAATTCTGAGTTGATATATCCTTGCATGTTTTTTCTTTGGGACTGCGGCTACCTTGGAGACGGTAACTGCGCATAGTGGATATGGCTTCTTCACCGTCCTCGCAGAGAAACATGACTTGCATCATAGAGAACTAAGAGTCAGCTTTAGTACTCTAGGCTTTCTGGACTGGCTGCATGGCACTGATGCATCGTGACTCAAGATTACAGCCCTGAGATAGAAGGAAGAAGGCAACAAAATCCAGTATCATTGTCTACGCAAGAGTATACAGGACCTGCTAACCATATGCTGAACTCCATTGTTTCCTTCTTCCCTCACTCATTCTTGGCATCGATCCATGATTCTGCGAGATCGAAGAGATGCCAGATGCTGTACTGCTCCTCTTTAGCTTTCCACAACTTGACAGCTGTAGTTCCCATGTCAATGTGGAACTGAAACCTTGCTGGGATTGATCTCTCATGGTAGAATATGTTGAGGGTCCGGTTCAGTAATTTGTCCATGGCTTGACACTTCTCCTCGCATGATTCTTCCAAGGCAATGTAAAAGCTCCGAAAATCACACAGCTTCATGGCTTTGTAGGTTGTAAGCTGATCACGCAGCTTCGTCTTCATGTCGCCATACGCTCGGATAGAGGCCTCCTTATCGGAGGGAGTGACAACTGCTGAAACACTTTCGAACTCGTGGTCCCAGAATTTGCAAGGAAGTGAGGAGAATTGCCTATCGCAGATTGCTCCAGCCGTGATCCAGGAACTCGGTTCCCAGTAGTCAATTGTGATGTAGATCTGGTCACACAGGATACGATACTTTTCGTGGATATCCCATAAGCGCTGCAATGGCCGCCGTAGCTTGTGGACATCGGCTGCACCGCTGTGACCCTTGGACTCAATGGATCGTATCCTGCTGCCGGGATCTTGGCTGCCTGTTTTGCTTGCAGTTTTCTAAGAAGTCTAGCTGCTTTTCTTAGAGGTGAGGAAAAACTTTTCCTGTATTCTGTTCTTGCTAGCTTTGCATGTATGTGAGAATTATCTAGCTTGTCGATGCATATCCAGAACCTGAGCGTCTGTGTGTGCAGCCTTTGCCGTATTGTAGGTATGCCCGCTTCTAGTGTCGCAACACTAAGAGCCATAGTTCGACCTCCTCCGACGATGGCTTGCGCAGCTTCCCTCTAAGCTCGATCCAGTTTTTAAGTGTGCTGTCTCGGATTACCAGGTACCAGATTGGCGACGCATGGTCCATGACTGGCGCTACAGTGGCATTGAACAACTGGCGCATGTTCGACGCCCTAAGCCCGTGCAGTCGTTTAAGTGCTGATGCCGCCTTATACGCTTTTGTCGTTTTGCTTGCCAGATGTTCTCTGAACCTCAGGCGTTGATCAAGCACAACACCTAGCACTCTGACTGATGGAGCTGACTGGATCCAGTCCTGCTTAAGGCGTAGTGGCATCTCGCAGTTGCGGAGAAGGGACTTGTTTCTTGTAAAATGGATAAACGCTGTCTTTAAGGCTTCAAAGACTGCACCACTTTCCTTTTCCCACGTCTAAAGTCTCCGGAGGTATTCCGTTTGTATTGGTCCAGTGTTGCGTTCGGCAGACGATCCTGTAATCCAGGCAGTGTAGTCGTCTACGAATGCCATCGATCCTCCATTCTTGATACGAGCCTGGACTAGGTCCGCTTTGAAGAACAGGAATAGAATGGGAGCTAGGGGTGACCCCTGCGGTAATCCAGATTGGGGTAGGTTCTGGACTTCCGACGTGTAGCCGTTGAAATACTACATTTGCTTTCCTTTCTGTGCAGAAGTCTGCAATCCATCTTACTAGATTTCTAGGTATGCGCCTGCTCCGCAGTCTCTCTGACAGAGGTCCTGTTGCAACATTGTTATATGCCCTTTTGACATCGAACGACACAAGAGCTAGAGTTTTCCTTCCTCTCCAGGCGTCCATTATCCTTTCCTGGAGGTACGATAACGCATGTGTTGTCGACTTTTGCTTTCTAGCTCCGAAGTGGTTATTCGGCAGGAGTTGGTACTTTTCCGTAAAGGAGGAGATCCTACATGCAACTACCGCTTCTAATATTTTACTTAGCGTTGCTAGGAGGGATATTGGTCTGTAGTTCCTTGGCATCGTAAAGTCGTCCTTGCCTGCCTTTTCGAGTGGAATGATTTTTGCAACCTTCCATCCTGCCGGTAGTTTGCCCTGCCTAAGCGACACGGCAAAGAGTTGGCAGCGACACTGGCCAGATCTCTTTCCAAACCCTGGCCGTAAGACCGTCTCTTCCTGGAGCTTTGTCAGAGCTGGTTGCAAACAGTGCCATTTCGACTTCCGCTACTATAAGCCTCCCTGTAAAGATCTGGCTGTTGCCATTTCTCTGTTGCAGTTCTGGCTGTTGCAGAATTAGTGGTTCCGGGAAGAAGCTGGCAATTAGTTCTTCTGCCATCTCGGCTTTGTCTTGAGTCGTGGTGCCGTCTTGTTTCTTGATGGTTGCGATCCTGCCGAAGTTGGAGCTCCTACTCGGGTCCATATACCTCGATGCTTTCCAGATATTTTTTGCTTCATCAAGAAACTCAATCCAGTGCTCCTTCTTGCTCTTCTTGTATAATGGAAATTGTGCCTTGCACTTTTGACTTCTGCCTCCAGGTATCTATCCGGCCTTCCCTGCCTTCTCCTGGCTCTGACTTTGTTTCTGATTCTTGTGTAGTTAACGTAGTCAGGTTTTGTGTTCACCATCTCTTTGCGTATGCCGATGGTCTTGCTTTTGGACAGTGTTGTTCAATGGCTGTTTGCACTGCTCCTTGGAGGTAGGCCTGCATAGTCTCTGTATCCTCTTCGTTTGGGAAGGGACTGTAATGCAGTCTTTGTTGCACATGCTGTCTTATCACACTCCAATTGGCTCTCTGCAATATGTAACTTCGAGTCTGGATTTCTTGCTGTTCTCCAGGAAGGGCGATCACGGTGTGAACTGCTCTATGAGCCGATCCATATTCGTTTGGGAATAGTTGGCATAAGATCCTGTCTTCGAATAGTGTTACGGTTGCAAAGGCTAGGTTGATTGTTGAGACCGCTATTCCATCTCTCTCCCATGTTGCAGCCCCCCGCGGCGTAAGCAGTTGAAGGTTGTTGTTCTCGATAAAGTCTAGTAATCCTTCAGCTTCTCCTTGTTGGTGTTCACAGGCCACTCTATCTCCTCCCCATAAGCTGTCATGGCGATTGAAGTCTCCCGCAAGGAATACTCCTAACCCTCTTGTCATGTTCTTTCTCAGTGTCGATAGCTAGTTTTATCTCTTGCAGCCGGTTTGCAAGTTGTTGTTGATCGTTTTCTCCCTGCCCCCCACTGCCTTCTTCACGCCTTGATCCTACATGTGGTATGTGAACGGACACTACCATGATGTTATCACACATAGACAGTGGTTAAGACAATAAACCTTCTCAACCCTAAGGATGTTTCCAGTAGGTGATGTTCTTCAATCCTCTGTTCAATGCATTTGTGCTTGTGTCAGCCTAGTGGCTTAGTCGTGAGTTGAACTAAACTCGAACGCCGGCCTGGAAAACTGTCTAGAAAATCGATGATATCTGTTCAAGCCCTATGAGACAACTACACACTGCCAAATCAAGGAGCTTCAGGCGCGTTCAGAGAGTTTCACGTCAGCCTACTAATCTGTAGGAAGTATCACAGTCTTCCAACAAGCTTGCTGACAGAATAGAGACCAGAATAATGACCATAGATATGCATGATCTTGCTAGAAACGCATACTCGAGAGTAGGTCTCTAACACTCATTGATCATGAAGAAGTGATAGAAGCTCATGGAGTGGGGAACAATCATTGTAGAACTGTGAACGGAAGACCGATGTAGAAAAAGCACATGTTTCATGATTTTGAACCACTGTGAAGCTCGGTGATCCGCATTGATTCGTATGCCTGGCTGGCTATGTTAGCAAGCGTAAGTGAGCTACCTCCTCGTCTGCCTCACTAGCTAAGACGCCAGCAGATTAAGAATTGAAGTCGCCCGCCTCGATCCTGCGGAAGTCCGATCGTGTTGCGAGCAAGTGGGAAAGCGGAACAAAGATACGTCAGTCTCGCTGCTAAGCTGCAGAGCCACGTACTGGGCTTTTAGGCCAGGACTACGGAACGAATCGAGAACCAAGAATTATATAAGCATCTGCCACAAGTCCGACTTGGGATCAGATCCAGCACTCCATTGTCTCGTGTGTAGTCTCAACACTGTGAGTATCGTGACTGCTTGTAATACTTGGCGGTCGCATGGCTGATAATTGAATAGCAGAAATGCCTATCTACTACACTTTCACTTTTCACCTTTTATCTGACCACATTAGTGAATTAATTAGCGATCATCTAAACCCTCTTTGATCAAAAAGTCAGCCCCATCACCATACTGGCCTCCAGATCAAGCAGCCGTAAGCTTACATCTACACAGGCACGTCCGGAAGTATTTCGAAGTTCGAATTAGCTTTTGTGGTTGAGCGTACCGATGACCAGCCCGAAAATCGCATCACTCGCTTCACAGGCTCATACAACCTCTACAAGGAGTACTAGTCCAGACGATGACTAGAACCACAGCGAGCATAGGTCACCGATGCGTATCCAATTCGGTACATCTCTCAGCTCGCGAGACCCTGCCCCTATTCCTGAATCCGTACAGGGATCGTCACGATAATGGCAGCGACGCTGGGGAGCAAACGAGTGGCTCACTTGGATCACTAGCCTTGCGGCTTCTACCCCACACCCTTGCTTGGGCTGGCGCTGCAGTCGATTCCTGGGCGCCAGCGGCAAACTTGAGTCTGAACCTGTCAGGCTTAAGCTCGGGCTCAGGCTTGCTCAAAGTGCACACTGGCGGCACAGTCATTGCTGTCACCCTGTCCTTCCAATAGGTCACCCTGTTCTACTACGTGATCTTCCGGTCCTTCGTTGAAAGGTAGATCAACCTTGTCAAAACAAAGGTTCTTCTGCCAGTTCTTGAGGCACTTAATATAGCTAAGATGAGCAGTAGAGAGGCTCACGTGGTCCTACGATGGTGTCCTTCTATAGCCACCAAATACCCTCTCTAACATAGCGGGCATTGGATTGATCGAGAGGATATCAATGGCCATTTCAGAGAAGTCTGGGTAGCCGAGGGTCCGTAAAGATCTGTCAACCACTAGAATTAGCCCAGCTTTGCATTGATCAACCTGCGCCAGATCGTCTTACCGTATGCCTTAAACCCGAAGAAGGCTTCCGCGTCAAACCGTCGAAGGTACCAGTAGTCAGGGGCGAGAGTCACACTAATTCCATAGCGGTTGCCAGACGCTGCGCGCATCTCACGTACCAGCATAAGGAAGTTTCTCGTGTCAGCAAGTTTGTCACCACTTCTCTTTGGGTCCCGGGGTATTCCCGATCAAAGTCGACTCCTTGTAATCCGTATGTCCTGATGCATGTCAATCTGGGTCGAGATAGCCAAGCGTGTCAGACAATGCAAAAACTTACTCCATGTCAAGTTCGAGGGATGCAGTAAACTTGGCATGGTTTGCTTTTGTTACCATGTCGCTCCATGTTGTCTGGGCTGGCTTTTCAGGATCGCTAAAGTCGAAACCACCGATGGCGATCCAGGTCTGCAACTTGCCAGCTTTTGGAAGACTGGTAAACTCTTTCATCATCTCTACATCATGATCGTGTGCAGGGACAACGCTGAAACCGTTGGGGTCGATAAATGCAGAGGAATAGAAAAGATGCTCGAAGCCTTTGGTATTGAGTTGTTTCGGCGTAAGAGTATCGCATTCACGTTGACGCACGTTCCAGGATTGATAGTAGCCTACTGTTCGGCCTTGAGAACTGCGGCTATCCTCCGAACATTGAGGCGGGTTAGCGACAGAATAAGATCCGTATCCTGCCTGGCATGGCATACTGTGATGGACTGGGTTGGCGTCGTGACAGAAGACTTCCGTGGTCTGGAAACTGTCAGCTCGCGCAAAGTATGCAGGAACATCCGTGTACATACGCCGCACCAACCAGATTTCGAGCAACAAAGTTGCATGCCGCATGGCATATCGGCGTCTTCGCTGAACTCACCGCACATTGCTGTGGCGTCGCAATTCGAGGTACAACCATCACCACAGAAGTATGGGCCGTACTTACAGATACCTGATTTTCCACAGCAACTTCACTGGGTTGGTTCTTACGATCGTCAGTAGCAAATACGAAGAGCATACCTGCCGTCAGGGAAAGGGTCGCTATTGCAGCGCAAGGCGTCACGCTTGAGCAATGGATTTGCCAGATCCCTCAATAACGAAGACATAGAATCGTTGATCACAGGAGGAACATGTTCCATGTTCGCGATAGGCATGGGCGGTGCTTTCTCTGGGCTTTGGTGGCCTAATCCGAAGGCGATTTCGTCGCGCCATGAGAGGTCAGCTATGATGTGTTAGCACTTCGGGTTACAATCTCGGTCATGGGCACTGACGAGTAACAGCTGTCTCTTTTCTCGGATGACCTCCAGACAAATCACGAGGGTGGCGAGCAAAGCTGGCATCGGCATTGACCAGGTCCAAAGAAAGCAAGACGAGCACGCCAGCAACGAGCTTCATTGCTGCATACATCTTGGAAACTTCTCAAAGACTGACAATGAAGCGTGTTGGTACTGACCATCTCGAAAGTCCAGCTTTTATACACAACTCAGTGCGTTCAGATATCACTTACAGATTCAACGATTTCAGGCTGGTGGCTAACAAGGGATGAATCTTTTGGCCTGAGCGTCTGTCTGTCGGGCCTCTATTCAATCCTTCCGGCGGGTGAGCAATAAGTTCTCGCAGTACTACACTCCATTGTATAGTGTGCTAGATCGTCAGCGATGCACACTTTTAGCCCGCATCTGTACCCGATTTGCGGTGGCCTTAGTAAGGCCAACAACACACGATCAACTCTATCAGCACCTCAGTCCCGCGGCTGACGTTGTTGAAAGTGGGATAAAATCGATTTCTCTGCCACGCCTTGTGAGTGCTGGCTATTCGCCGAGCTGTATACACTCTGCATATTTTCGAGAAGACTTGACACGAATGCCAAGTCGGCCCTTTTGCTCCCAGAGTGAAGAGCGCTTTCAAGCCAACACTGCACTATATGATTGAGCGCATGAGCGAAGGAAGCGACGAATTTCCTAACACGAGATTATCTTGGCTTTTGGGGGAAAGTCCTTCTCTCATCATCCGCAATCAAATGTTCACGTAAACATTTGTGGCTGATGCTTCTCCACAAAATGAAAATTCGTAAGATTTTGTTTCAGCGAACACTTTGCCGGTCAACATAAAGTGATAATGAGGTGTCCTGTCAGTCGCCTAAGCTCTTATCCAAAGTGTTGAGATGTGCCCATGTAAGTTATTTTGAAGGGAGCCAAAATCGACCATCAACAATACACAAGGCCAAGTTGTGCCGGTGTCTCTCAGAATCTTAACCTAGAGTACAAGAGCGCCCCTTACCTAGGACCTACCTACATTGCTACGACGGAAGTGACTCAGTTCCAATAAAAATCGTATGCGGCTTTTACCCATAATGGTACGAATGAAAAGTTGTATATAAACATATGCCAAGAAGGAACCGAGTGATGCTCAGAGTTAGCCTTGTGTAGCTTGCCGATTGCGGTCAGGTAATGGGGAGTAACTATTTCAACTTTTCGTCATCTCCAAAGGTCGAATTTTGCATCATCAAATCTATAAGTCTCGTGTTACTGTGTCGGCAAGTTCGATGATCTCAAGCAATAGAAGTCGAAAACAGCCGCGCGTGTCGAGAATCCAATCCTTGACGCCTGTGGTGTTTTTTTTTTTCTTTCTTCAGAAGCCTCGAGATCTATAAACGAAGACAACTCTAGTTTCTTGAGTCTGCAGGCTATCACCAGTAGGAACCCGTATCTCTTACGTAGTTTCGAGTCGTTCGACGGCCTCAAACTACATAAGCCAATTGTATAGTTTCACGTGGTTTTGTGCCGTTGTTCAAGCTCGAACTATGTGTCGTGCTCTGAACGTGGTTTTAAGTCGCTCTGCGACCTCAAAAACGTCGCAAGCTAGCGATAGACTTGTGCCGCTAACGTGATTTTCGAATCATTCTTCGAGCTAAAACTACGTAAGCTGGCAATTAAGTAAGTAAAAGAGTTGACCTTCTTACGTAGTTTCGAGTTGATTTTTTGAGCTCGAACTACGCATACCAGCAATGAAGTTTCGTCTTAGATGTGTGCCCCTTATGTGGTAACGAAGTGACCTTCATCCTTAAAATACGTAAGCTAGCAATGAAGTTGTGCTGCTGACGTAGTTTCGAGTCGCTCTCTAATCTCAAACTACGTAAGCCACCGTTGGGATGCATTCGACTTACGTGTTCGAGCCACGCTCCGTACGTGGTTCCAAGTCGTCCTGCAAGGTCGAAATGCACAATTCGTTTAGAAAATGGTGAGCGAGGGTCCTTCTCCGACGTGAACTCTCCGGTGTTATAGGGCTGTGATTTTGGTAAGAACATCGCGATTATGGATTTCGCACTCCATTTAACAGGCGTTATCTTATGTAAACAATAATATCTCAGATCTTCACTTGACTTAAGATGATGTACTCTCCGTTAGGGGAGTACTGTTGTTCAGCTCTTAGCCACGTAACACATCCACAATGGTTTCTGAGCGCGGTGTCTGCCAAGCTTTTTGAGTCGGTCCGGCAAAGCCGCTTCTGGCGTGGTGATGATTAACTACAGATCATTGTTTGGTATACATCCTTAAGATAATCGTCGATATCTTAGTTTGGGATGTCGACAAGGTATGAGACCGGCTGGGTTCTTTGACACTCCGTAATTGATTTTTCGCATATTGGTGATGACCTGAGGTACAAGAAGTAGTCTCGCGTCCATGGCATTATTAATGATATTGCCATGATGCGGTCCTGTGCCCGACCATAATCGTCAGGCTGTTTCAAGGTATCCTCAGTCTCTTTCTTCTTCTCTTTCTGATTGTCGAGTGACTTGACGATAGCACTGTCGAGACTAGGCGTCCGACGAATTGGAATTTAAGCACACAGCATCATGACGCTGCGCGAGACATATTGCTAAAGGTCTGTTACCAATACAGCATATCCATGGTCCCTGGTTACGCTCTTTAGCTTGGATAAGCTAGCGGCTGTTGATGCGCCAGTTGTATCTTGATTTGCGCCGATGCCTCTGTCGTTAGACATGAAACAAGGACATCGGGACACTGGTAACGGAGGTTTTTGATTCCGAGCAGCCGCCGGAAGCGTATTTGCGCGTCCTCCACTGCGATCTTGTCTGCAACATGTCTTGACGGATGAGAACCTCCATCTGGCAATCTTCGCGAGCATGGAACCACAAAAGCACACAAGTTGCCCATATATCAGAGATGCAGTCTATCTATGTGTCGCACGGTTGACCGGTAGTCTTGAGCTAGAATCCTACTTCTGAGCCTGATGTCGCACATCTGCTTGTAAACAGTCACGAAATCTTGAAGATGCGCCAAGCCGCTAATACGTCATTGCTTTCAGTCGTGCTGCTTGGCACTCAGCAGAACTTGCAGCGTGTAGCAGATAGTTCTTGCACGCCTTGTCGTGATTCGCGATGTCGCTCACCAGCCTAAGCCTTTGCGTTTGCTGGAGCAGAGAGCTGGTTTTGCGCGCGCCCACCACCCCCTTCAGTTTGATTGAATGCGCTATATACAACAACAATAGAAACACCATACAAATTGTACCAGATTGATCCTGAAAACTTAAAGATCATCTGGTAATTTGGGCACATCGAACAAGATCAATATCGCGTGTACCACTCCCTTGCTTAATAAACGGCTTCGAGTCGCTCTGGCATTGATGCTACACCGTCATATGCAATAGAATCGCGAATTGTGCTCAACGCATGTACTAGTGCGTCTTCCATACGCTCAGGTATTGCCTCCTCTTCTCCTTTCCATAGTTCAATATTTGGATATAGCTAGTAGGGGGCTTCTTTGAGCAGTAGCCAGAGGTGCTCGATTGGATTCAAATCTGGACTGTATGGTGGCCATAATCGAGTACGTGTATGCCGTGTTTCTTGAACTGTTTACGGGCAGTTTCCTTTCAAGGAGTAGTCGCTTCTTTGCAAGCCATTTTTTAATGCCAAATGGCTCGAGTATTCGCCGCATAGACCGGTTACTCCATTTGAAGCCATACCACTCGATCTTGTTATACGCCCAAAAGGGGTGGCTTCACGAGGTGTGTATGTACGTAGCCGGCCAGTTCGAGGTAGATCAGTACCCTCGTTGTGGGTTGAGGCGCCGCGGACTGTACGAGAGATGGTCGACGGAGCGCGATGGAACTGATCGGCGATCGACTGGAGCGAACATCCGTTCTCATACGCTTGTACAATCCGGGCGCGCTCGTATGGCGTAAGACTGAACCTCGTGCGCGAGATCCAGCTGCGCGCGAGCGCTCAACGGCTGGAGCCGTGTTGTTACATTAACGTGTAGAAAGAGGGTGAGGTTAAACAACATGCAGCGCGTAAGTGGTTTGCGAAACTTTTGTCCATGCACAATACTTATGTTAGCAGTAAATGCCAGAGCTAACCAAGCCAATTAAGTGGAGCCGAGGCCGCGGAAGTGGTGTATACTTGGTCTTTTTTACAAGGTATTGGTGTTGAACATGAGCTAACTACACGCCTTATGACATTCGATGCGCACTGGATCAGTCGTACCGAGAGATCCGCGGCATAGAACAGCTGCCTTCCACGACGTTGTAATAACGTCACGGGACGATCGTCATCGTACCGGATGGACAGCAGCAATACTTAAACTCGGTTTGGGCCGAATGTGTTTTCGTCTTTCTCACAATCAATCATCGCGTTCATATAACCTAATCATCGTTCTGCAACTTGAACCAAAGTTCCTCATAGCCAA